CCTCCATCCCGTCCTCGATCCAAATGTTACGCCAGGCCTGCAGCAACAAGGCTGCTGCGACAGCTTGAAGCTGAGCCCTTTTTCTGGTCATGCAACCATGGTAACCCCAAAACAATCAATCAATATATATATATATATATATATATTAATATGTATATTAATATGTATATCAATATGCATATATATATATGCATATATGTATAAAAAATATAATATATTGCTATCATTGTTAGTTATCTTTGTATTATATATATACATATATATATATATATTACATGTTTCGCTAAAGTGGGAGCTTACTCTTCTATACCGTGGGTTGCTAGAATCACAACCCACCAATTCAAAGCTAGGGGACTTACTCATCCGGAAGCCGTACGCAAGCGCAACGACAGGGGACCCAACTTCTCAACTATAGCTACGGAAGCCATGGTCCATTGTAGATGAAGAAACCATTACAATTACAAATTAATATGGTGATTTTCCAAAAAAAAGCTATGTTCAATCACCAAAGGGTATGTCTCAGTACAGTTGCGAAGAATATATGCTGGTATATGTACATATATACCCTCTGGTTATTCAACATAGCCATGGAAAATCACCATTTTTAATAGCTAAACCCAGTTGTTCACCATCTATTTCGATTAGGGCCATCGAAATCCCATGGCTATGTTAGTCATAACCAGGCCGGGGATGAATGTTTCATTGAACATGACACCTGTTCCACCGATGGCATCCACCTCCAGATTTCGGATCATCTGGGAATGCAAGGGCTGCAAGCCCGGGAAGACCCGGACCTCCTCGCTGTTGCATGCTGTTGCAGCATGGAACGTTGCCACTGATCTGGGAGGATTTTGCATGGTAAAATGCCCAAGTGATTGATATATTTATATGATTTTATATGTATATATAGTCCGGAAAAAATTAACATAGCCATGGAAAATCACCATTTTTAATAGGTAAATAAACTATTTCTATGGGCCATGTTCAATAGCTATGTTAGTTTTGCAATGGGTAAAGTTCTCCAAGTTATTCCACATTATCCAGCAAAAAAAAAATACGTTATATCCAGCACGGACTCCTCCGACAGTTTGGACAAATCGAATGAGACCCCATAATGCAACCAGAATCACCAAACAAATGGACACATGAGTTCATTGGTTTTCTTGGGAAAATCTTCACCGGAAAACCCATGGGTTTTTACCATGGCCATCCTACAAAATCCCATGGCTTTCATCGGATGAAAGCCACAACGACTATGGTTTTTCTAGTGGTTTATAGTAGTTTATAGTGGTTTATAGTAGTTTAATATGGTTTATAATGGTTATATAACTGGTTGAAATCTGATGTTTATGACATGAAATACTGGTTGGTGGTATACCTACCCCTCTGAAAAATGGAGTTCATCAGTTGGGATCATGACATTCCCAATCTATGGAAAAATAATCCATTCATGTTCCAGTCACCACCAACCAGTGATTATTAACCATGATTAACCATGATTAACCATCATTACCCCATACTAAACCAATGTTCCAGTCACCACCAAGCAGTGAATCAAATGATCTGCAAAACCCAACATCCAGTCACCACCAACCATCCATATGGTACCCCAACATCCCAGTGCTTGACAGCTTGATCCTTACCTATCAAAATTCATCAAAACCTGCACGACGAGCATACCCCATGTTCAGACCCATCCACATAATTTATATTGGCAACATATTGATTTGTACCAAAATTCTATGTCTTGTAGCACCGGACCTCCTGATTAGGACATATAGTTTCATATCGCAATATAGCTTTCTATATTTTACAGAATTGATGTATGTATAATATATGATGACAATTACATAATTTTGTGCCACCATGTGCGAATGTATACGTATTTGTCTGCATATATAAAATAAATAAATGAATAAATAAATACATGAATAAATAAATAAATGAATAACAATTACCAACCGTTAGGACATTCTGATTCGTGGCAAGCAGCAGAGGCAGCAACGAAAGGGGCCACCAGAAAGTTGATGAAGCCATGTTGCGAGCCAGGACGGTTCACCTGCTAGACGTTCTGATGGATTTCTCTCAGGTCGTCGTTTAAAAAATCATCGAAGTAGAGCATCGGAATTCATCAAATATGTACCCTCTAGGAAACTAACATAGCTATTGAAAATGGTCATTTATAGTGGGTTTACCCATTGAACATGGTGATTTTCCATAGTTATGTTAGTTTACCAGAGGGTATGTATGTAGAATATTATACTGGTTGGTGATTTCAACCCCTCTGAAAAAATGAAAGTCAGTTGGGATTAAATGAAAAAATAAAATTCATGTTCCAAACCACCAACCAGATTTATAGATGTGGATTTTCCACTATAAACCATCCAGTAATTGGGTACCCCCATGACTAATGCTATAATGTACCCAGATATATAAACCAGTATATAGATTAAACACCAACTATACATAGGTAGTGGTACGTTTATAAACCAACTATAGGTATACAAACCAACTATAGATATGGTTTTCCTATGGTTTTCCTATGGTTTTCCACCCATATATATATAACACAACGGCCTTGTTCATAGCGCCCACTTCTCGACCTCCGAGTCCTGCCGCCCCAAAGGAGCGCGCCTTGTGGCGGTCGTTCAACATCCCCACGGGGATTCCCAGGTCCTTCTCCTGACACATGGGATGGAAGGTTGTCATGGTTCCGGAGGGTTAACTGGGCTTTATAATGGATATTAACCAGGATATGATATGATTAGAATATGATTGTAATATTAAAAACAAAAAACAGATGTTAAGGTGATATATCTATAGTCTATGTAGCAGCTGCTTTATAAATAGCACCCCCAAAATAGATGCGAAAAAATACATTGGAAACCTGAAAATGATAGCCCTAGAGTTTCTATCAGAACATGCAACTAAAGGTGAACTCGCCACCACTCCTCCACTGTAAGAGAAGTACAGCAGCCACAGCACAACCGATAGTATGATAGTTGGAGCTGTTGATGTATAGGAGCTGAGCTGAAAGCCAGAACCTTTTTTTGGCAATACTAAGATGCTAGGCTTAGCTTAAAAAAAAGAGACAAGACAAAGAACAGGAAAGAATTGGAAAGAGAGCGAGAGAGAGAGAGAGAGAAAAAAAACGAAACTGGAAGAAGAAGGATCAAACCGAAGAGGAAGAACATTAGGAGAGAAGAGGAAAAGGGTCCAAGTAGATGAACCAAACAGATCAACCACACAACTCACATCACATCACTAAAAATCGATGTTGTCAAGTTGTCATGAGAGCTTTTTTGACCATAGAATGAAAAATGCAGAAAGTAACGTTTATTGTTGTCGTGATTATGTTTGGCTGTCTTTCGCCTGACTGTCATTACTGGATTGCTACTGACGCCATTGCTCATTCCCTCCATGCTGGGAAATCTACACGGCGAATGTGGTATGATGCAACTAGATATGCTTTGCATGGGAAAGCTTGGTGGTATCATTGCTTCTATCATCATTCGCAATATTTCACACACTCGAAATTAAACATGGAACCAACCAAAAAAAAAAACATTGCCATATCCAAGTGCGGAACGATACCCTCTCTGTTTCTTTGTCATAGCGGAAAATGGCTAGGGCATGGCATTCTCCTCGTCTCCCTGGTCGAAGAATTCGTCGAGGACCCGCCATGCCCAAGACATGCAAATGTCGAAGGGCTTCCTTAGGAAGGGTGAAGAAATAATGGCTGAAATATGTAGGTCCATTTATGAAGGAAGCCGCAAGAATAGGTCGATTTAGTCAGAATGACTACTTATGACTACTTATTGACCTAAGATTTGGCAGTCAGATTTATCATAATAGTCTAGCAAATACCTCCAGTAAATTAACATAGACCCTGCCAGATAGGGGTTGGAAGATTAGTTTCTACTAAAATTTGGTGATTCCGGTAAAGAGATTGGCTGGGAATGAGCCGCACACAGTGGGATTTTTCAGCAACGATCAACGTAGACGTAGATCACACATTGGTGACATGATTCCCATTGGTTCCCCATTTACGACATGAAAGTCATTGAAGGGACCATGATCCAATATCATAATATCCAATAATATCCAATATAATAAGTATATAAACTTAATTAAATATATATGTATGTTATATATAATAATATATTACAATATAAATAATAAATTGAAAACAACCTTGAAAGCACCAAGCGGTTCTTTCACCGGTTTTTTGAGTTCATCCCAGCTCTGTCAAAGTCATATCTCGCTGTGTGTGTTTCTTGCCCAAGGAGCAGAGGATTTGAGACATCCGCAAAGTGTAGGAACAGCTGCAGCCACATCCTTGGCGAGTCGTTCGTGGCTAAGTTCGTGGCGAGTCGTTCAGCGCTACTATAGGATGAATCTCTGTTAACATGGAGGTATGTAATGAGTCCGTGAGCAAACCTCAAGAAATGAACCTTAAAAATCATTAAAAATCATGACGCTCAAGGATCTTGCGATGAAGAAGCATGACATGGAACATCATGGATGTTCATGGATTTTCCCATCATTTTCCCATGTGATTTTCCGGTTTCTTGCCAAGTCTCATCTTGTTCTTGCCCTGCAGCACTCTCTCATGGTACGGCTGAGTGATCACCTCTGGCGAAATCGCCTGTGAATCACAGAGCCCGCTCTCCATCTCGTAGACGGCGCTCACGTCCTGGCATTTTTCCGAGGATCCCCGATGTCGATGGTTACTAACTATCATGAACTCTTGATGTTGAGAAAAGATTGAAGAAATTGGTACCATCTGGTTATTTAACATAGCCATGGAAAATGGCCCATTTATAGATGGTTTACCTACTAAAATTGTAATTTTCCATGGCTATGTTAGATAACCAGATGGTATAAATTGGTTCATGCCTGTTATAGTTACCCTGTACCTCAGAATTTCCATTGAAGCTGACGTCACAGGTCCAACCACATCGCTGCGGCAACGCCACGTCCAACGTCACCTTGACCATGTCGAAGTGATGCACGTTGTCCGTGTGCAAAATCGCCGCGATGGCGATCTTTCCTGCAGAAAATCTTGGAACCCTGGGGATGGTTTATGAATTTATGGCTTTACCCTCTGGTTATGTCAAAATAGCTATTGAAGCCATGGCCCATTGAAATAGTTGATTTACCCACTAATAGCATGGTGGATCTTTCCAGTTCGTTATGTGAAAAATTACCAGGCTTTACCGTGCTTTACCACATCAACCGAAACACTGTGTTCAGATCTGTTCAGACTGTTCCGTCCAGAACCCACTATGTCTATGGGCACAAAAAACAGTTGAATCCATGCATCAAAGGCGGCCAAATCACTGATTGATAATTGTTTTTTTTCGAAAGTTTTATGTTTTATCCCATTGCCATTCTTGTGGCAAGATAAGCATCATAACTTTTATCATTTTATCATCTTTTATGTCAGATATGTATAGATATGTCCTGTGTGTGCGCACTATTGCGCACTCACATGATCTATTATATACACATGGGTCATTAAATGTCCCCATTGAACATCACCCAACCATTAGGTATATAGTCTATAATGGCTACTATAAGGTGATGTCCAATATATCCAAAATGGGACAGTTACCAACCCCTGTATACACATTGTCCCAGATGAGAAATTGTCCCTTGCCGCTAGCGGAACCAAAAAGCCGTGGGGATATCGGCCAAGTCACGGGCTTCCTTTTGCTGCTCCGGCGTGGCAAAGGCAAACCTGGCACCGCCGCCGTTTTGAAACTAGGAAAAGTTGGGGGAAACCGTGGGAAGCCCTGGTCTTTCGCGGTCCGAACTCTAGCTTTGTGCAGCTTCAATTTTGATGAATACCTGACAGGTGTGCAGTTTGTGGAACTGAAGCGGGTGTTTTCTCAAATTCCGGAAATCATGTGCGAACCAAATATGGCAGCTGTTGTTTGAAAGCGACTACTTAGACCCTTCAAGTACCCAAGAAAATTGGTAAAAGTACCAAAAGTAGTAAAATAGGAATACAATCTCATTGTTCTAGGTATCCGGACCTTGTAGTATGATACACATATGTTGCCATATCATAACATACAGTAGAATATGTATATATACCCTCTGGTAAACTAACATGGCAATGGAAAATCACCATTTTTAATGGGTAAATCAACTATAAATGGCCATTTTCAATAGCTATGTTAGTCGTTACCGGAGGGTATTAACTATGGTCACAACGAGGTCTTCCGAGCAGCACATCCGTGTCGCCATGCTGGCACAACTGGAAGAGCATGGCACGGTGCATGTTCCTCACGGCAGTTAAAAACATCTTCGCGACGGGGCAATCTACGGGGACGACGTATGACTGATGAAAAACGGATGGGATCACGGAATGTTTAAAAATACATGAGTAAATGAATGTAAATGATATATCATCATATACTGTACTAATCTGTTGGGGCATCAACAAAATAGGACTTCACCAGTTTACAACAGAAAAAAAGCCGAAAACTGGTTGGATTTTGGCCAAGTTTCTCCAGGGGCGACTTGTCGTTATACCTCAAGGCGAGTTCCTCAGATGGGAGGACATCTTGGGTCAAGAAAAATACATACCATCTGGTTATTTAACATAGCCATGGAAAATCACCATGCTATTAATAGGTAAACCCAGGTAAACCATCTATTTCTATGGGTCATCTATACCATGGCTATGTTAACAGAGGGTACATGTTTTTCATTCAAAAGGATCCAAAAGGCGCTTTCACCAACACGAATGAGGATAAAAAATATTTAAAAGTGGATAAATGATGATAAATATCTTGAAATACATTCATCATCATTCATCAGATTACATATGGCATACTGACATGCTGTAGCCTGCGAAAATGAGTAATCGGTGCACCAAATGCCACGCATGAATGAACAAAAAACAGACTGTCTTAGGTAAGTTAGGCTGATATCAGGAGTGGATAACACATGCACAGTTCACCAACATCGAAATTCATTTGAATTTTGGCATGCTCCTGAGTAAATTGACACAAATTGAATTTGGTTGCATTCAACCCCAGTAGGTCTTTCTTTAAAGTGCGGATGCAGTAGCAATGTTCCACCGTATATTTCCATGGAACCCAATATATGCCAGCATCGTATATACATGGTGATTTCATAGTGTGAAAAAAAAATGGCAAGATATATTCCATAAATAGTTCTGGATATTATCACCATATATACATATATATATATAATACAGCCAGGTGAATATATATGCCAATAGTCCCTGGCCGGATTCCACGAAAACCTGGCCAGCCTGCAGCCGGCGAGCGTGCTTGATCTCCACCAGGAATTGGTTGGTTCTCCCGAAATGGCCAAGATCATGGCATAGGGAAGCCACCAGCAGAGCATACTGCTCAATCTCGCCCGTCCATTTGCCTTGAGCATGGGAAGTATTGGCATGTCGGGGTAGGTTCTATGGTAGATCCAAGTTCGACTAAAGTATTTATAAGTGGTTCTTCTACCATGATAATATTATAGTGTATTTATTCTAATATTCTATAAATCATCTCTATGATAGTGTATACTATTCCATTCTTCAATAATTAAAATGATAAAAGTTGCTTCAATTAAAAAAATAAGGTTGGAATTCTGATATGTTTGTATGCTTTATTATGATATTGTATCTTCAAATGCAATAATCAAACTGGCTGGAGTTGATCCAAGTTTTGGGATGCAGGAGTTGAACAGTAAGTGAACCAACCAAAAAAAACATGGGAGATTTCAGCAGCACTATAAACCCAGGATAAATCCACTTACTAAAATTACTTTACTTCGTGATCCCCACCATGAAATTTATACATTTTCTTACTGGCAAATCTTCTGGCATTCTATCTGACATATCTTCTGGCATATCTTCTGGCATATGTTCTGGCATATCTTCTGGCATATCTTCTGGCATTCTATCTGGCAAATCTTCTGCATTCTATCTGGCATATCTTCTGGCATTCTATCTGACATTCCATCTGGCATATCTTCTGGCATTCTATCTGGCCGTTGAGGTCCGGCAGTGCCCACTGGGATCTGGAGCTCGCGGTTGAGGTCCGGCAGTGCCCACTGGGATCTGGAGCTCGCGGTTGAAATCCGGCAGTGCCCACTGCGACCTGGAAGTCCCGGTTGAGGTCCGGCAGTGCCCACTGCGATCTGCAACTCGCGGTTGAGGTCCGGCAGTGCCCACTGGGATCTGGAGCTCGCGGTGGAGGTCCGGCTGTGCCTAGTGGGATCTGGACTGCGAGGAGGAGGCGGCGGGTGAGGAGGCGGAGGAGGCGGAGGAGGAGAAGAGCTCTGTTAAAATCTAGCAACCCTCACCTGGCAGGTGGGGAAAAATACTTTACATATATTTTGTCTGACACATCTACAGATACATCTTTCTGACATTTTTTCCGACATTCTATCTGGCACTCTATCTGGCATATCTTCTGATATTCTATCTGACATATCTTCTGGCATTCTATCTGACATTCCATCTGGCATATCTTCTGGCATTCTATCTGGCCGTTGAGGTCCGGCAGTGCCCACTGGGATCTGCTATAGAGCCGCTTTGGCACTTAGGAACTTAGCTGGCCGTTAGGTGGCACTTAGGAAACTTAGGTTTGATGGTGTTCTAAGTGGGAGCTAAGCGGCTGCTAAGTGAGCTAAGTGTTTCCTAGGGATTTTTTGCAATGCTTATCATTTTTGAAAACATGGATGTTGACATGGTCTTGGGGTGTTCTCCGCCCGTCAAATTTGCTTTTTTGGCTGCTTCCTGATGTCGTGGATTAACGTAAAAGCCAAAGACCGTCTTGATCTTGGCGGCGCAAACGCATACGCTCCTCGTGCATCAAAGTAGAAGCTGCAAGGATTGTCTTTGCGCCAGATAGGCGCTTCCATTTGATAATGATTCTTTGCAAGAAAGGATTGCAATTTTCGCACCGCGACGTAGAAGCCATGTGCATTTGACAGACCATGTAAGATTTCTATGCAACACGTAGCTGACATTTGGACGAAGCTACCACGTAGGTATTCGACGCAATAGATTTGGATGCCTTTGGCAAAGAAGCTTTCAGGAGATATTCCGAGCTCCATTGCTAGCACCACGTCTTGCGTGGGCTTCCATATGAGTTGTCCAGTGTACTCACTTTCGAGGTGACTCGTAGTGAGTTCCGTTTCTGTCATTTGCAGCAGCGTGCTCCGGGTGAAGCAATTCAGCCGTGTCAGGCGCCGAGCCACAATGGACTTAAATATACGATGCTTGCGTTCCCCAGCAAAGCAATCAATGTCTCGCCGCCATCTGTGAATTTGTTCTTGGACATGGAGCGCATAGTGAAACTTGGGTCTTGCCCCCGCTATCGCCCCGTAGGCGATGTCCCATGCACCTTTGATTTTTTCTCACTTTTTCAAAGAAAACCCGCAGACATCCTTAGGAAGACATGATTCTGCCGGTTGCACATCCCGCAGACATCTCGCAGACATGTCCCATGTGTCCCAGCAGGATTCTCCCTCTTGGCAGACACCGCAGACACACGGAAACCCACTCGGAAGCACCTTTTCCACGCTCCGCAGACAAGTGCCGCAGACATGTCAGTTTCATACTTTCTGTCCGCAGACATCCGCAGACATCCGCAGACATCCGCAGACATCCGCAGACATCCGCAGACACGGACAAACAACGAATTTTTTGGGTGAATCCTTATGGTGATGTTTCTGCCTCCACCTTTGCAGCCCGTAGGCTGCGTCGAGCTTGCCGTAGAAGCCATGCACAGCGTCGACACCAGAGAAATTCCCTAATGCGATTTTCTCGCCTAGAGACTAGAGAGGTGCCATGCCAAGATCGCCAGCCATTTGCCAGCAAGATGCAAGTCGTCAGACAGGTACATCTGATTCCAACCCAATTGTTCACGCCAGGCATTCGTCACTTCCTCGTAGGAAGCCGGAATCAAAGAGAAACCATGTAGTATTGGATGTGGAGGCACATCCCGATGTGTAGCGCCCCACTGCCCGTAGAGCAACAAGGTTCTCAGGCGTTTCAAGACCTTGCTGTCTGCAGCCCTTCCCTCTGCGCATGCCCAGGCTCCCGTAGAGTCCAAGCAACGAGTCTGATCGATTTCCACAGGCCTCGTTTTCACAGCAACATTCTCACCGAAGGACTCCGCTTGGAAGTCACCCCAGAAGTCGGGCTGCACCTGTGCCAGCCACGCAGCCGCTTGAGCTGCCGCGAAGCACTGCACTTTGTCCAGTGCTTTCTGCACACCCACATGCAGCGCCTGTTTATCCCTGACCTCCTCGTAGGAGGTCAGCGAACGAATTCCTCTTAGGAATTTCTGCGCAGCTTCCGATTGCTTTTCAACCGACATGCCTGCAGCCAAAATGGCTGCAAAAACCATCGTGATTTCAGAGCTAACCCAAAACCCTTGCACAAACTTACATTTCAAAATCCAAGCTAAATGGTCACTAAGTGATCTCTAAGTCATGATCATTTAACTTATAGAACTTATATCTCACCCTAAGTCAATAGTAAGTGCCACTTAACCTACCCCACACTAGGAACCACTTAGAGAATTATAACTAACTTGACATGCCACATAGCCACTTATAAGTGAACTTACTTCATGACTTATAAGTCCCTAAGTCCCAGGCTGGTCCAAAGTGGAGCTGGTGGTTGAGGTCCGGCAGTGCCCACTGCGACCTGGAAGTCGCGGTTGAGATCCGGCAGTGCCCACTGCGATCTGGAAGTCGCGGTTGAGGTCCGGCAGTGCCCACTGCAACCTGGAAGTCGCGGTTGAGGTCCGGCAGTGCCCACTGCGATCTGGAAGTCGCCGTTGAGGTCCGGCAGTGCCCACTGCGATCTGGAATTTGTGGTTGAGGTCCGGCAGTGCCCACTGCGATCTGGAAGTCGCAATTGGAATCTGGACTGCGAGGAGGAGAAGGCGGACTGCGATCTGGAAGTCGCGGTTGGGATCTGGACTGCGAGGAGGAGGAGGCGGAGGAGATGGAGAAGGAGGAGGCGGAGGAGGAGAACAGCTCTGATAAAATCTAACAATCCTCACCTGGCAGGTGGGGAAAAAAAGATCATAATGTATTAGAAAAAATAGAATCCACCAACATCACAAATACACTATGTTAGAATAAATCCACTCATCATACATTCTTGTCATACTATTTCTGATCCACAAAAAACATAAATCCACTTATTCTTATCATCCAATATTTTTAACTGCTATTGAAAGTGGCCATTTGTAGTGGATTTACCCATTACAAATGGTCATTTTTATAATTTTTGTTGTGCCGTTTGTTTTTCTCTTACCATCCATGGCGCATCAATTCCTCACCTCGGATTCTTGGGATTCCTCCAAGTGACCAGCGCGCGTCAGCTGCAGAAGCCGAAAAACGGTGAATAACACGTCCACGGCGTGAGGGAAACAATGGTATGGCACGTCCTATAGTGTTTTCTGCTGGCTATGGCAAATCTATGTATATATAAATATATATATATACATATGATTATATACATATGGTTATATACATATATATATATATATAAACACATATGAGCGATTGTGAAAACCCTAGGTTCACGGAAAGGACATCCACAAATTTGGGAAGGTCCCATCGCTCACCACACGTTTGTACAATAATGATATATGGTAAACTTGCGGGGTATCGCTTGCAGGAAACTGCTGCATTTATATATATATATATGGGATGAATTATGAATAATATGTGATATTTGGGTATCGCTAATGTGGATATTAGAGAAATATGATGACATAACCTTGAAAAGGGGTATCGCTAATTTGGGAAGGTCCCATCGCTTACCTCGTGTTTTTAACAATTTCCATCAATTTCCATAAGCCAATGTCCGTCGAATAGATATTTAGTATTGCCGGGGTTTTTACGGTTGCTCATATATATAGACATATACATATATCTAAACACACACACACATATATATATATATATATTTATATGATTATATATATATATATATGATTATATACATATATATGCATATGATTATATATATATGATTATATAATATTATGTCATATCATATGTGTATATATATATATATGTTTGTGATTATATGATATTATATGATATTATATGATATTATGTCATATTATATGTATACATATGATTATATAATATTATGTAATATTATGTAAATGTAAATATATATATATGTATATATATATGGGCACAACACGGGCACAACCTGGTGCCAAATTTTGATGAGCTGTGTTGGTTTATAACTTGAACATAAATTTGGAGCTATGGTAGACATATCGATAATGAATGGTATGACATGGCACAGCATCCATTTGATTTGGGGGATTGATGCCCGATGATGTTTTAAGGGATACCCCGCTGGGAAAGCTATGGCCTGCCATGCCCAACATATTAGGCATCCTCAAGTCGCCACTGAAGGATTCCTTCAATGCATAGGTGCCATGGTACAAACTTGCTATCTGGCATATGGTCATCCCACCATCATTTCGGATTCCCTTTGAGGGTATAATCAACCCCCGTGAACTTGGGAATCACCATCCATCCCCATGGGAAAACAAAGCATGGCTGAACACCACGAGCTTGGATCAGCAGTGGGGAAAAAACTTGGAGAAATCCCTAGTTTGCTGATGAAATCCCCAAGTTTTCCCATGGATGTTCTTTTCCTCTCTTTTCCTGTGGATTTCGCATCTTTTCCTGTTTGTTTCCCATCTCTGTCGATTTCACCGGTCTTCCCGTGGATCTTTTCCCTGAAACTCATGGACCTTCCATGCCTTCAACCACCGTAACCGCAGGTCCTTATAGTTGGCCTCGACATTGTGTGCGAACTGCTGGAAAACCGACTCCTCCACGAAGTGGTACGCCACGCCGAACTGAGATCTGAAGAACATGTAGGTCACATAGTCCTGCATCCTGATGCTTTACCCAGAGGAAACATGACTTAAGTGGGTTTAAAAAGGTACCCTCTGGTAAATAAACATAGACCCTGAAAATAGCAAATTTTCAATGGAAACTAGTCTTCCAACCCCTATCTGCCAGGGTCTATGTTAATTTACCAGAGGGTAATGTATACAGTATACAGATGTATACCAACTAGTAATATTAGTAATGTAATACCATTAACCAACTGTTGGTCAAACAATACTGACACCAACAGTACCATCCGGCAGGCACTGACCCTTTCCGCCTCTACACCATGTTTTTTTTTAACAGAGCCAAGAGTCTCAGTTTGCGAGGCATTCAGCAAGTTCAGGTCCCACTTCTGAGTCCATTCAACCTGCCATTCCGGGAACCGAAAAAAGGGGTTCTGACTGGCCAATTTTTCACAGGATGTCCTGTGACCACCGTTGGTAGATCGGGTAAAGTAGCGATCGGCTGCTTCACAACCCAAAGCATATAAGCTCGTCGCACAAGAACTTACGTTGCCTTAATTAGGTTGGAATTCACCGGCCACCAGCCAGTACAACTCATCTTGATGATTGAATGAGCTGGACGATCACTGTCAAAATCAAAATCAAAAAATGGCTGCTGGACATCCCATGTTTTGAGATTTGTCTGCATATTCCATGCCAACTTGGGTGTTCAAAACACAAGACTCATATTTATAATTTATACCAAACATATCCAAACACAAATAAGCTCTGGACTTGTATGGCATGAGCTTGGCTGCCAAGTTCATTGCAAATCAAAGGATCATCATCAGCCATTGAATAATGCATCAATGTAGTTTCAATCCTCAAATGTGTAGCTTTGTAACTTGTATGCTCGTTTGCACATCTGAGGGGCCCATTATCCATCATGCAACAATGTGTGTGCCTGAAAATGCGGATTAGACAATGAAAATTCATGAACATTTGAATGCAGCTAATGGAACAAATAATGAACAAACCTATGATTATATATTACATAACTATGACGAACCATTTCCATCGGTTGTTGGTTTTCCATACTGGTTTTCCATGCGAACCCTTAGGAGAAAGCCTGGTTTGGTGGATCCATCATTCAGGGATATGTTTTCATTATTTAAACATATCTGTTCAATGTTTCCATATTTCCATCATCCATTCAGTTGTCTTATGTATCCATTTTAATTACCGTATGCTAACCTTTAGATATTCCCTCCCATAAGCAGACATCAACCCTCATTTATTGATGGATTTTTTCTAGCTAGAAAGCTGCATCATCCTGCATCTCTGAGACCATTTCTAGAGGCATTTGTCAGCCACAAAAATGATGACACCGACGTCCGCTCCTCAAAGTCCATCTGCATGGAGCGTTTGGTCCCGAAACCGGCCACTGGAGCTGCCAGGACTTGCACGTTGAGCATGTCCAGCAACACCTCAAATCCACGGCTGGGGGCACCACATATCCCCGATTTTTATGGTACACGCAATGATCCAACTTAGGGGGGGTTGAGACATGGCCTGTTTCTGATGAAAAATGGATGGACTTTGAGGGGAAATGGTGCAGGAAACCGTGGGATTTTTCGCATGGTAAGATGTAATTAGTTTGGGGTGTCCTCTAACTTTTTCCCAACCAAAAAATATATCAATTTACAGTACCAAAATGTCTTCCCAACATGGCGCCAATGCAGGAAGGGTGCGCAGTGAAGGTAAAGTAGCGAATCATTATTAAATGAAGCAAAATATCTGGGTGCTCCATTTCTTCTGTGCAAATGGGATACCCCCAAATCAACTGATGAAACATAATCCCTATATTATGTATATACATACTGTGGATGGTAGAAATCCTGCACCAGTTGATAGATGGCAGACATCCCATTATTTATAGGGTTTCAACCCTTCAAGGTGGTGCAGAATTTCGCTGGCCCATCCACAGTATGTCAGATGTATATCCATGTATATCCCATTGTATCCTCATGACATCCCCAGTATGCTTAGGTTTTCTATGGTTTTCTACCCATCTTTGGTGATAATAAATCTCCATATATCTCTTCGCCACCCAACTTCCAAGGACCCTTTACAGCCAATGCCCAGGTGCTGCTTTTCTCTCAGCGTTCATGTTCCTGGGGTGCATGTGGTTGCAGCAATGAGCAGCTATGATCAGGGGGATGTACCCCTCTGTGGGCTATCCCTAAATGGTTGACGTTGACAGGCTTGAATTTGATGAACCTTGCTTGGAACCATGACGGACATGGGTGACTTAATGAAGCTTCGCGATCAAAAGGCACAAAATTGGACTCCAAAAAATCAAGAAACATAGCAACTGGGGTGAGCTTTCCATATGCCTTTGCATGCATAACTATAGACTATAATGTCTTACGTATTTTGGGGTAGGTGAGGGTCTCTGACTCTAAAGAGAATCTCGAAAGTTTCACATCAAGAAATCATTAACGTGGACAACATGTTCAGGGAGCTAGGTACCAACTACACAAGGTGCTTCCACATTAAGTAATTTGAAATATCGATCATAATCATAACCCCCAAGTTAGTTATTATAGATTATAGACCCACCAGCTTACTTCACATCAATCAATTCAAATATTAATCAATCAAAATCACCATCAAAATAAATATATAAGTATGTATCAATGTATCTATCTATGTATCTATCTATCTATCTATCTACCTACTCTTCGTGGCTTGAACTTATGGCTTCAACCCCATCAAAGCCCAGTTTCAAGCCTTCACCCGACCAGGCCCCATCCCAAACCCCCCATCCGCACCGAGGATCTCCAACTCGTTCTCCGTCACGGCCTTCATCGGCACCTCCGCCAGGGTGGCCAGGCGAGCCAACTTCTCCAGGATGCGCTGGGCGGCGGGACGAATGGGGGAACCATCTGAGAATCTATTGATCTCCATGAATTTTATAGATGAACATCTATTCATATGGACCATATATGACCATATGATATGGATAATCCTATGGGTCCGCTGTGGGGGTTAGGGGTGGTGCTCCGTACTTTTCTGGTTTGGGGTGGTCCGGGGCAGACGCGAAAAAGCGAAAAGTCGAAAAGTAGCTGTTGATTCTTAGGGGCGGAGCCCGAAAACCCGAAAAGTAGAAAAGCCGAAAAGTCGAAAAGTAGCTACTTTTCTCGAAAAGTCGAAAAGTAACTACTTTTCTCGAAAAGTAGCTACTTTTCTCGAAAAGTAGCCACTTGTCTCGAAAAGTCAAAAACATGAAAATGAGATCCATGGGTATTCTTTGGATTAACTGCAGCTGTCGCACTGTGATTTTGAAGGTTGTTCCCTCCGACGGGGTGTTCACGCGCAGACACACTGCTGAATGTGCATTTTGTACTGTTTTTTACAGTGTTTTCTGCTTCTCTACAATGCTTCCTTGGGGGGGGCGGGGGGGGGCAGGAACAACTGATGTAACTGATGGTACAGGGGGGGGATGCTAACGTTCCATGTAACTTGCTCATGTTGTTGATGCTTCGCCACGCTGGGGTGGGGGGGATGTTAACGTTCCATGTAACTTGCTCATGTTGTTGATGCTTCGCCACGCTGGGGTGGGGGGATGGTAACGTTCCATGTAACTTGCTCATGCTGTTGATGCTTCGTGGGGGGGATGTTAACGTTCCATGTAACTTGCTCATGTTGTTGATGTTTCGCCACGCTGGGGTGGGGGGGATGTTAACGTTCCATGTAACTAGCCAAACTTCTGACTCAGCAAAGATGACAAACCAAGTCGGCCGCGCGTGAACAGGCCGTCCGACCGAGGTTGTTGTATCATGTTGTATCTTGTTTTTTTGTTGGGACGCAGTTGTGCCACATGTTTAGCGTCTGTTTTATTTGTGGGAGGGTTTGTTTATGGTATCCAAGCGCGTTGGAGAGTGAATGAGTCTGTCAACAGTTACCCCCACAATTTGGTACTGTCCTTGGTTCAAGTGGCGTTTAATTTTTCAAACCTAATACTTCTTTCTATGTTGTGATGCTAGCGTACTCGAATCCACGCAATCAGGTTTGAAATTATGAGAGGACATGATTTGCATGCATGATTGGATGTATCTTTTTAGCTTGCGGCTTTCAAACAATTGGAAAGGAATATGGCTAGGAACGACATGGTCCACGTTGCAGTCCCCAAGGGGAGGAAGAAGGTTGGCATCGCAGTCGGGCACTAAAACAGTCAAATTATAACTGTGAATGGAATTGCGAATTTCAAGGACGAGATGGGACAAAAGTGGACTAAATCAAAGAAGAAAATGTAGAAGTAAACACACAGAGGTTCAACCAGAACAGTCTGTCTGTCTTTGGGTGTCGAGAGAGAGAGAGATATATAATATATATATATATGGTTCCGTTTTGGAGGGCAAGATTTTTTTGGAGCACGCAGCATATTCACAAATGGGACCTTCCTTTTTCGGTTAGTCTTCTTGGCAAGCATTTTGCAAGCGCAAGGCAGAGTACAGGGCGTCTGCAAACAACAAAAACCGTTCAGAACGTTTGAACTGTTTTCGCCTAATTCTGAGAAAATTGTAAATCTTAAATTTGCTGGGAACAAGTTTCATCAACTCAGGGATTTTATTGTGAATGTAATGTGTCACATTGGGTCTAGAATTGCATGTAAACACAAAAACTTCAGTACTTGCGTACTGTACAGTGGGGAAACTAAAAATAGGAAAACCATTTGCTGACATGTTTTTGAGCTTTTTTGTAGGTAGTAGCTTTCCTACATTGTGTCAAAGTAGGTGGGCGTACGGCATATGCAGTGTGCAGTTTTGTCTAAAATTGTTTAATCTATATCGCTCGGATGTTGATGCGCCGTTTTCTTGCGCCACATGTGTGGCGACAATCCTAGATGGGGAAAGTCAATGTCATAGAGCGTTCCATATAGATGAATTGTATCGATGGTTTTTGGCCTGTCTTTACAACGCTGCACATGTTTCTTTTGTTTGGCAATCTTCTGGATGTGAAAGATAGAACTTCGTTTTTTCGTTTTTAAGCTGGGTGGAAGAATTGAACATGTTCGAGTGACAATAGTTTTGGGGTAGACACGAAAAGGTGATATGTTGTCAATGTGTGGTTCCAGCAAAATATCTGTGGGCTTAAGCGAGCAGATTGTGAGAATACGCAAAACGAAAAATTGTGTTGGTTCACAGCGTGTGTTCCAGTCTTGGAAGAAAACAATTTGAACATAGGGAGGGCAGTCTGGATGGTAATCATTGGGTTTATTCTAAGCAGGGACCCGTGAGCAAAATATAGTTAGATCATTCCGGGTATTCCAGAAAAACTAAGGGGTACAAAAGGCACTGGCAAGTAGTACGGCGCCGCAGGGCGCCAAGTGCAAACACTTCCCACCATATAGATGTGGTTTCCCAAAAAATGTGGACAATAGATTGAATACATAGACTTCTTGGATTACTGTAGTCTGTGGGTGGTTTCTTCGACGTGGGACTTCCAAGATCAAAGGATGTTGTGCTTTCCATTGTTCCGGTTTATCTCTGTAGAGCATCGGCTAAGCAAGTATGAAAATCACTTTGTGGCGTTCTTCGGTCGCACTGCTTCAAAAACAATACGGAACAAGTAGGTCTTTCCAACTTGTTTCTCCAATGCGAAAACTGGCGAGCAGCTGCACTTGACTTTTGGTTCCTTGAACTGACGTTGCTGTCTAGGCCGAGTTTGCAGGACGTGTGGGTTCGCATATCCTTTTGTGTACCATTTGGTATCACCGCAGGACCTGTCCCTGCTTTGGCAGGGGCATACACGGCATATGATCCGGACTTCTTGATCCAAATTATTCTATTAATCCGAACTTGACATCACCTATTTCAAGCATACCACGCAGCTAGTCTTTGACATGAAGGTGATCCAACCATTTCGACAATCCGAGGCGTTCCAACGCATCCGACAGTTGGAACATACCGCAACCTTTGAAAGCAGCTGCATACTGAAGTCCTTGCAACCTTCAAAACCGATCCCCGACCATGACAACACGTTGAACTGTCCAAACTATCTTGACCTCCCCAACTACCCGGAACACTCCAATTGGTCAACGCACCATTCCAGCAATTCAACGGACTGATTGGTCATTACATTAGAACTAGAATAATCAAAGGAAGTTCAGAAGTGAAACTTCAGACAATATGGACAAATGGAAAAGCCAAGATGGGAAGAGCTACAGAAGAAAGAAGTGAGATAGGAGAAAGTCAGAGGAGAGAAGGTCAGACTACAACTACAACTACGGCCAAGCTACAACTACTGTACAACTACAACAACCAAACTACAACTAGAACAACAACTCAACCACAACCACAACTACTACCAAACTACAACTACAACTACTGCCAAAGTAAATGTGCAATCACGACCAAACATACAACAACAACAACAACAACAACAACAACAAAACCACAACAACAGCAACAACGACAACAGCAGCAGCAGCAGCAACAGTAACAACAGTAACAACAGTAACAACAGTAACATCAACAACAACAACAACAACCACGACGACGACGACGACGACGACGACGACTCCTGCTACTACTACTGCTACTACTACTCATACTACTACTACTACTACTACTACTACTACTACTACTACTACTCCTACTCCTACTCCTACTCCTACTCCTACTCCTACTCCTACTCCTACTCCTACTACACCTACAACTTCAACTATGTGACAAAAACATACAAAGACTATAGCTACAACAACTACAACTAGAACTACAACTGCAACAACAACTATAGCTGCGACTGCAACCACAACAACCACTACACTGCACTACTACTACAACTACAGCTACAACTACAACTACAAACACAGCTACATCTACAACTACAACTACAACGACATTCCAACTACACCGCGCTGCCTCCAACCACTTTTCGGTTCATCAGTGAGTTCGCTCTGCCATCCATGATTCACAACAACCCATCCAACAGCCAAACTACAACAACAGCCAGTTTGATGCTAGTTTGATATGGCTTTTGGAAAATGATTTAAAACACAATAGCTGCCATAGTAGCTTTTTAAACTGCGGAGTATGTCGGTGCTTCTGCGGCAGTTTCTCTTCTTTTCCGCTTGGCTAGGCCCTACGGGGCTACGTCTGAAACAAAGCAGCTGCAGGAGCTTGCTTCAAAGTTTTGGCAAAATACCCTTCCCACTGAGCGGAAAGATAGGATGAACGTTTGACTTCTATAATTGACACCACCACATGCAAGGGCAAGTAACACTGAAAGGGAATAATCAAAGTACCAGTAGTACCGCGCAAGGCGGTGGCGGAAGCTTCAAAAATAGGAAACCCATAGGAGAGATTGGTTGTGGTGAATCAGGGATGGCAGAGCGAAGCCACTGATGGACCGAAAGGTGGTTGAAGTCTCCTCTCTTTCTCTTTCTTTCTCTGACTATCTACCTACCTACCTACCTATCTATGTATGTATTTATCTATTGATCTCTCTCTCTCTCATCTAATTACCTATCTATCTATCTATCTATCTATCTATCTATCTATCTATCCATCTATCCATCTATCTACCTATCTATCTATCTATCTATCCATCTATCTATCTATCTATCTATCTATCTAATGTATCTATCTATCCATCTATCTATCCATCTATCTATCTATCTGATCTATCTATCTAATCTACCTATCTATCTAATCTATCTAATCTATCTAATCTATCTAATCTATCTAATCTATCTAATCTATCTAATCTATCTATCTATCTATCTATCCATCTATCTATCTATCTATCTATCTATCTATCCATCCATCCATCTATCTATCACCTATCTATCATCTATCTATCATCTATCTATCATCTATCTATCTTATCTATCTTATCTATCTGATCCATCTTAT